AAAAAAAAAAAAAAAAAAGTGCATTTGGTCTCAACCATAGACCAGATACATGTAGGGGGTCCGGCGTTTTGGGAACGCCGGACCCCCAAGAGCAAAAAATTCCGACCGGATTTTGACAAAAAAAGTCAGTTTTGATGTCGTTCAAAAAATATAATATGTCCGTTTTGACAAAATGACTGTTTAACAATATGAAGTTCCAAGACAATAGAGTTCGTAAATAGTTCACGGAGGTTGTGATTAGCGACACAAACTTATTATCGTGCCTTTCCATGTTGCACACAACCAACATTGGACACTCGTAGTGACAAACTTGAGGCGTCGGAAATTCGAGTACTACGACTCGCTGATACCGGATGGGGAACTCACGAATAAGGTATTAAAAGAGATTGACACCAATTTGTTCAACCATACATAGGTAGTGGAAGGCATCCCGAAGCAATGTGATTTTAACGAGTGTAATGTGTTTATGCTCAAACATGCATCACTGTTGGTTAGAGGTTGTCAGCTGCCATTCACCTTCTCCTTAGATGACGTTAAGAAGCTATGATGCCGAGTTGCTTTTGATGTGGCTGTTGTGGAGTATGTATATGGTAGATTGTCTGATTGTGCATGAATGCGTTTGTTAGAATAGTCGCCCGAGTAGATGAGACGACTATGCGGTGACCACAAATGGAGAGGATTGCAAGAGAAGATGAGCTTGCAAGAGTATTGCGGAATATCGATGCAATTGTACAAGGTAAAAGGGGATGTAGCAGGAAACAAATCTTAGTTTTATAGAACACATAACTTGTGAAACGTGAAACTGGACAGAAATATTATGACCAAAATTCAGAAAATCAAGGAATGATATTTTGAGGCAAGTAATTGTGGTATGAAGATCCTAGATACATAAAAAAAATTCTCCTTAATTTAGACCTGCAAATGTTTTGTAGATAGCCATTCATATTTGGTGCCCCCTATTAGACGCACACCTTCTTATCTTAATTGTTTAACCCCTCACCCCTCACCCTTCACCCCTTACCCACAATTTGTTAAAAAGCCATGAACAAAGAGGCAAAAAAACAATGTAAAAAAAGAAATGTCCGTTTTGACGAAAATATAGTTTAACTTAGATAATGGAGGCATTATGGCGCACAGTGCCAACCGCTGAAGTCACCAGATTCAGCTATCTCGCAGATAGCCACCTCCCACCATCACCTCCTCAGCCATGGTGGCGACATGTCTCCACCTCCAAATTTGTTCAAGTATTTGCACCAGAGCCCACAAATAGTGAGACAGACGGGAGGGTGGCGAACGAGTGGTTTAGTGAGTGAGCTTTTGCGTGAGAGACAAAGATACACAGACTCATGAAAGATGAAAGTGGCAAAGAGAGAGACAT